ACTAGGGTTTCATCATGCAGCTTCTGCCGCCACTTCATCTCAGCCGCACGATCAAGTTAGAGATGGAAAGTCTAGATCAACCCTTAGTTAAGATTTCCCCCTTGGATGCTGTCGTCGCCTTGCAAGAGCTGTCCGATCTGGACCTATCCAACGGTCCAGATCGAGCCCAGGCCACCGAATTTGGCACCATCACAATCTTCTCCACCAACTCACAACTGGATTCACAAGTCAAACATCAAGACCAAGACAAACCCGTGATTTCAATCTATTTTTTACTTCACTCATGATGTTTAAGAAAAAAGAAAGAAAAAAGAAAGTAAAAACCTATTGTAGAATCGGTTATATAACCTGAACGAAAAAAGGTAAATAGAGGGGACTCCTAGATTCGAAAAGCAATAAAAATAATAGAGTTATTTTCAAGGTATATTTTAGTTTCGAAAACATAGAAATAAACTCTTTGTATACAATATATATATATATATATATATATATATATATATATATATATATATGAGTCTAAAAGAGGGTCGATCAGTAGCTTACTTGAGTCAGAGGGAGCCTTCACGGTGGTTGGAGTTCAAGGAAATCGAATAGTCAGGGTTAGATTTGTGGTTGTTTGGGTTTGTTTAGGGAGTTTTTATGTTTAGTTTGGTGCCTAGGGTAGTAGATCTAGGCGTTGGGATCTTTTTGGGTGATATTTGGAGCTCCGGCCACCACACAAGGTGGCCGGAATGACGGCCGAACGACAAGTTGGGTTGGTCAGGGAGTGTCCGGCCGAAGATTGTGAGAACTTCTCTCATTTTTTTTATAAAACCAAGTGAAAATGAAAACAAAAAAAGATAAAATGGTAGTATATATAGGCTAATTTAATGGTATAATTGCATCTTAAGTGACTCTAATTTTAGCGTGTTTTATAAAATAGTCAATAGTAGGGACCAATTTCATTATTTTTCCATTTTTCTCTATGTTTTATGATTTTTTGTTTAATCATAGTTTCATCCCCTACATTCACCTCGTATTTGCACTTTGGTCATCGATTTTGCAGTTTTTATATTTCAATTTCGAAATTGTTGTCCTGATTGTGTAATTTTTATTCTTATTTCATTAATATTGGTTGAGATAAATAATTGGTAAAATTTTATCATTAATATTCAGCATCGGATCCCTTTAACTTTAGTAATAGAATTGCTTTTTAGGTAGTATTGATCATTGTTCCCTATGATTAAAGTAATATTCTTTTAATTATGTGATATGTTTGTTTATTAACCCACGTTGGTGGTGTCTTATATATATTTATGTATGATTACTTTACCTTTATATTATATATTAAAAGTTGGTAATTCTCATAATATATTTTATGCCATTTACTTTGTAGTTTGTAAACATATACTGTATATAACATATTTTTCTAAGGATTTATATATATTATATTATTTAAGTGTATTATATATATATTATATAGTATGTAGAATGTATATTTTATTATCCATATTATGTAATATATATAATATAGCATATATAACATCGTAACACTTATATGTATATATTATAATTATTTTTATTAATTTACATAAATAAATATATATATAAATATATATAATTTATGCATATTATTTTTATTAAACATCAATCTATGAATATATATATATAAATATTTTTAGTTGGTTGATAATTTAGTATTGGTACAAAATCACCACTTTTGTTTGTTTAAGATATAGTAGTTTGTTTTTTTTTTTTATAATATATATATATAATTATTGTAATATTTTTTCCCACTTATTTCCTTAATTTAAGCTATAGTGGTTTAGTTTTTTATTGATTATAATAATATATGGAATCGTTGTAATGTTTGTTTCTTCACTCTACTAATGTAAACTACGTATGATGTTTAATTTCTTAATAATATATATGTAATCATTATACTATTTGTTTCCCACTAGTTTCCCTAATTTAAGCTTTGATTTGTTTGATTTAATAAACTTTCTTATCATAATATTTTCTTTATTATAATTTATTTTCCATAATTTGTTTTAATTTAAGGGTCACGTTTCTTTCATTTGTTTTTTTTATGTTCACATGATGATTCCTTATTATGTTTTGATGCATGTGTCTTATTTTTATTTATCTTTAATTAAATATTTTGATGTATTTTCATTTTCATTTAAATACATTTATGTGTACATATGTTTTTCATGATATCTTAATTAATTTTACATGATAGCCTCATAAGCATCCCTTGACTCTAATCGAAATAAATTGACTAAGGGTGATATTCGATCATTTTAAAATTATCGAAAGAAATTTTCTAATACGTGAATATAAAGAAATTTTCTAATACGTGAATATTTAATCCATTTTAATGTATAGCATTAAACTTTAATACTAGAACTGACATTTCAGATTTGAGCCCTAAGTTCCTTAATTTTCATAATTTGACACTTTAAGTTAGAATAAGCCTTAATTTACTTTTAGTTTAATTAGGACAAATAAAATTTTGTTTGATTGCATTATTTTTTACAAATCTAAGGCATTGTTCACTTATTAAGGAATTAATAGTATATCTCCCGCGATCGTGCTCAGGGGGTGACTACTGGTAATTCCTTGAATAAGTCGACATCCTTTTCAAAATCACATCATGTTTTCTAAAAATGAGGTAATATTCGGTTATTAGGCACAATAGCTTATCTCCCACATTTATGCTCAGGGGCGAATGCTATCGGTCTCGATAAACGAATACCCTTTTCAACTTTGCATCCTTAATGATTTTTAAATTAAATAAAGATCAAACTCCAAATTTTTGATTTTAAATATAGGGTAATCAACTAGGTACCAATTTTTGGGCGCTTGTGGGGGTGCTAATCCTTCCCCACGCGTAACTGACTCCCGAACCTGATTTCTGGAATTTCACAGACCTCAAAACTCGATATTTTGATTAAAAAACAAAAATGTTTTATTAAAATCATCTGGTTTTTATGGTGTTCCAATCTCACCTTAAATGATTGGTGGCGACTCCTTACCTTTCAAAACAATTTTCAAAGAGAAAACCCCAGTCGATATCAGTCTTTCCCCGCCCAAGCGAAAATTGGTTACGACAGCTTGGCGACCCTGCTGGGGACCTTTGTTTTTCTTAAACAAGTTGAGAGTCTAGCCACAAGTTGGGTACCCTATATTTATGATTTTAGAAATTTTGAGTTCGAACTTATTTAATATATGGTTCATTATGGTCTTAAAAAACATTTTCTCTCCAGTTAATGCTTACACTTCTGTGAAATATTTAGGAGTATTGCATATCATAAGCTCTAACCCTAAGTTGCCTATCCAGATACCAGATCCGAGGTACGCTTTTAGTGATGTGATCCCCTGAGCTGAACCCGATTCGTAAGTCTGTAATGGGCCAGAATCGGGGGGCAACCTTAGCAGGTTGTAAAGATGGCTTGGGAACCATTTCTAGAACCCAACCACATATAAAGAATTTAGTAAGCCTACCCCGTTAAAGCCATCCGGATAACTTAGAAGAACTAGATCACATGATGTTAGCATTTTTAAATTTCTTTGATTATTTCGCATTCGATACTTTAAATTTTTATTAATTATTCTTTGATTTTTTGATTTATTCTATTATCACTAACTTATTATTTTGTTTCCTGATTGCATGTATCATTATTATATCACATCATTTCATAAACGGTATTGATTCCCAGATCACCTAGTTATTATAAAAAAGCTTAAGGCAACAATGTCTTCCGACGGGACTGAGAATGCAATCAGTGTTCAGACCTGGCCTGAATATGGGCAGACACAGTTCGGGGACAGCCTTGTCACTAACGAAGATTCAGTTTTTCCAGAAAAGGTAACGATCCTAGTCAGACAGGCACACTGGGCTGAGTTATCAAGAATTTGGTCTACCTGGGATAATAATGAGAATACACTATTCAGAGGGATATATGGCGACATTATAGAGCTACTGAGAGTACCAACAGATTCGGTGGTGGTTCGAGCCCTTGTCGAGTGTTGGAATCCATCTTACAGGTGTTTCACTTTTGGTAAAGTAGACATGACCTCGACCTTGGAGGAGTATACAACTTTGCTGAACATCCCGAATGTTAGAAGACATTTCATTTACACCAAGACAATTTGACCTAAGGGGTTCATAACCAAGATGATCACGCTGACAGGAAAGACCAGGGAGTGGGTTGAAGAGTACATTCATGATGAGGAGATCTCTTAGGCTCAGCTGAAAAGTTTAATTTACGAGCAAACTCCATCGAAAAGAAAAAGAGATCACTTCGCCCTTGCGGTATATGGTTTGGTAATTTTTCCCAGGAATGAGGATCACTTCGACATCGCCTTAATCGATTTTGTCGAAGTTATCGTTAGAAAGAATCCTACACCAGCCATCCTTACGGAAAACATTCTTGTCACTGAACCAGTGTAGACGATTGGGGGGAGGTCAGTTCACCGGATGTGCCTCACTATTATTAGTTTGGTGGTAGAGCCACTCCTGGATAGTTGAGAAAGGTTGGGCTCGGAGACATCAATCAAAGTTTTTGCCTCTAGTGGATTTCCTCAACAAATGCCAAATCCCCGAGCATCGTAAGAGGAAAGACTAGGTTGAAGCTCTCCGTAACATGAAAGATACTAAGATAGTATGGAAGGCTTACTGGTTACCCAAAGAGGACATACTTTTCAGGTGCGATAACGATAGTTTTGTAATGCTGCACGGATTATGGGGAGCGATGTGGTATACTCCGTTAATTGTATTCAGATAGTTCAGTACCCGACAGTTCGTACCAGCTACCCACAACCTGAAAAAGATAGAGTTTTCTTTCTCTACTCCGGGTTACCGAGAGTAGATTTCAAAGATCTATGCAGCTTGGAAGAAGCCTCAATCCATGAGCTTGAAGATGATAGAGCCTGTATTCACGCCGGCCTATGAGGTTTGGAGGTCACAAAGAATTAACAAAAATATACCTAAGCAAAATTTAGAGGACAAGTTGACTATGGAGGAGCGATTGAGGAGGCTCCCGATAGAAGCTGAGTTGTTAAAAGAGGAAATGCGACTAATGAATCTAGAGAGAGAAAAAGAACAGAGAAGCTTCTCGGAAGAGAAGACAATATGGGAACTCGAAATGATTAAGAAGGATGGAGTGATAAAACAATTGTCCAAAGAGAAAGAGAAGGTCCAAAAGAATTTTGATGTGCTAAACCAAGATTTTCGGGCCTTAGAGAAGAATATGAGAGCCCATGGTCTACATCATACTGCCAAAACCCTAAAAATAAAACTCGATAGGGTAGAAAGAAGCGCTAGAAGTAGCCAAGAAGAAAAGAAACGAGCCATACAACATGCTCAGAAACTGAGAGAGCAAAGAGATGAGGCCAACCAGGAATTAGTACAAAGGCGAGCACAGATTGAACAACTTGAGGCACAACTGCTTAGTATCGATGTGACTTTTCGAAACTCTTACAACAGTCTTCAAAAAGAAAATGAGATGTTAAAGAAGAAGATAGCGGAGCTAGAAAGAGCAGGGTTGATCCACTCATCCGCACAAGAGGTAACCATGCAAGAAAACGAGGCCTTTAAAGCGAAGATTACTGAATTAGAAGTCATAGTGCATAGATGCCATCAGCAAATCCAACAGCTAGAAGAGAGGCGACCATTAACTAATCCAGAGCTTGGAATTGCTCAGCAATGGATCTGGCTCGCGATGTAGCTCGCCAAGTCTGCTAGTTATCTGAAGAAGCGACAACTTTAAGAATTTTTATGATTCCAGAAACAGAGGAAGAACGACGCATCATGGGATTGATGATAGAGCTCGAAAGATTAGGAGATAGGGCAAGATTCTACGTTTAGTATTTATGTCGATATAATCTCTTTGCCTAAGTGCTTAGATGTTGTGTGTTGTTGAGTATTTTTTATATAAATTAAGTTATTTTGGAATCAATATTGGGTTACATTTGCATTTGCATTTTAATATGTTTTTTTCTCTAAATTTTCAAAATCGTAATGATTACATTATAACAATTCATTCATTAAAATTCACAAAATAATAAAATACAATTTTCAATCATTTGTAGTTATCCTAGCATACACCTCACACCTATACGGTACTCGTCAGTCAACAAAGAAAATGGATGACAAGATCGTCCAAATCGAAAAAACTCAGTTTGACATGCAGGAGAGCTTTAAGAAAGTTCAGGAGGAGATACATGAACAAATGATAAAATCTCAGAATGATTTGATGGAGAAACTTGCGAGCATGTTACGAGGAAGAAATATTGAAAGAGAAGATACCCCAGCTTTCGGTGCTACTATCGAAGAACCTTTGTATCCCCCAGGTTTTGTACCACAAGTGGATCGTGGAAAAGCTTCAAATATTGGTGTTACAGCTCCAACTATTGGTATTACCTCTGAAGAACCCCTATACCCCCAGGATTTACACCACCTCATGTTAAAGCACAACAAAGAGCAACTACATAATCAGAAAGAATACAAGTAAACCTATCTGGCTCTTCTTTAAACCCACAACCAATTGAAGACGTCCCTGATTTGGATGAGGAAGACAAAAAAGAACATGATAAGGAGCTCAAGAAAGAATGGGAACAAATGAAGCATGAATTTTGAGCTATGAAAGAAGATGTTAGCTTATATGGAATCGACGCGAGAGAGCTAAGCTTGGTCCCTGATTTAGTACTACCACCAAAGTTCAAAGTTCCAGATTTCAAGAAATTTGATGGCACCAGTTGTCCTTCTGCACATATTACCATGTTTTGCAGAAAAATGACAGGCTATGTGAGAGATGATCAACTATTAATTCATTGTTTTCAAGAAAGCCTGGTAGGCTCAGCAATACGTTGGTACAATCAGCTAAGTCGGACTCAGATTAAATCATGGAAGGATTTGGCTAAGGCTTTTCTAGAGCAATATAAACACGTAAAAGATGTGAGGCCAAATCGAATTTTGTTACAGAGTATGGAAAAAAGATCTAATGAGAGCTTCAGGCAGTATGCCCAAAGGTGGAGAGATATGGCTGTGCAAGTTCATCCACCATTAGAGGAGGAAGAAACTGATATGTTTTTTGTAAATAATCTGAGGGCCCCGTTCTTTGGACATCTTATTGGAAATTTATCCAAGAATTTTGCTGATATAGTCATCGTATGAGAAATGATTGAGATGGCGATCAAAAGCGGGAAGCTAGATGAGTGAGAATCTAGCCTAAAACCTCCAGCAAGAAGGAGGGATAATGAGGTTAGTAATGTGAAGAAATATGATTCTAATAACATTACAGTATCCCGACCTCAAGCCACCACATCGTCTGCACTAAATCCTGTTAAGAAAGGGGTGAAAGAACCAAGATAAGAAAGGGAAAGGGTTCAATTTGACCCCATCCCTATGACCTATAAAGAACTATTCCAAATCTTGTATGACAAACATGTGGTGTCACCTTACCACACTTCTCCAATACAGCCTCCTTACTCAAAATGGTTTGACATCAATGCTCAATGTGAGTATCATGCCGGGGCATCAGGGCATTCAATTGAAAACTGTCTAGCCTTTAAAAAGTTAGTACAAAGATTAAGGCAAAGAAATGTTATCAACTTCGGTGATAGCGAGCAGCCTAATGTGGCTCAGAATCCACTACCGAACCATGCAGGGGAAGGGGTTAATGTTGTTATTGAAGAAAGAGGGAACAAAGTTATAACCAGAGTCAATGAAGTGAAGTTGCCCATGCATTGGGTATGGGGGCAAATGGTCAAAGTAAGCTGGTTGACCTTTAATGATGAGGGGAATAACCATGCTTGCCCCTACCACCGTTGCGAGGATCATGTTATTCAATATTGTGATGAGTTCAAGGCCTTGGTTCAAAGGCTGATGGATAGTAAAGACATGGAATTTTACAATGAAGCTAAGAAAGAGAAAGAGGTAGAGATTTACGCTTCCGAAGGCACATCCAAGAGACTTTACAATACTAACTTCCCTTTAGTCATCACACCGAAAGCCCAGACTATAGAAAGGTTAATCCTTAAAGTGGTGATCACGCTTCCGTCGTCCTTTTCTTATAAGGACAACAAGTAGGTCCCTTGGAGGTATAAATGCCAATTAGAGAATATTGAAAGTTCTGAGGCTGCTAAGGAAGAGGTGGATGAGGTAGGCCACTTTACCATAAGTAGGAGATGTTATTCTCCCAACTAGACCAGTGAGCTTGAGAAAAGAGCGGCCGTTGATAAAGGGAAAAGGGTTGAGATATTGCTGAAAGATGATGAGCCAACAATTAAGGAGCCAGTAACCGAGAACAAGGCTGTGGAGTTTTTAAAATTTTTAAAGCATAGCGAGTATAACATCGTCGAACAACTACACAAGTTGCCAGCTCGTATCTCGATCCTCCCTCTACTATTAAGTTCTGAGGCATATCGAAATTCCTTGCTGAAAGTCTTGAATCTGACTTTTGTACCGAAAGATGTGCCAGTAGAAAAGATAGATCGACTGGTTGCAAATATTTAGGCAGATAACTTCATCTCTTTCTCTGATGACGAGATCCCATCCGGAATGATGGGCAACCCCAAAGCCCTGTACATTACCATCAGGTGAAAGGGACATGTGTTATCACGAGTACTGATCGACAACGGCTCTGCCCTAAATGTGATGCCATTAATAACCTTGAAGAAACTCCCGGTCGACAGTACACACATGAGAAATTGCCAAAGCATTGTTCGAGCTTTCGACGGAACAAAGAAGGAGGTACTAGGGAAGATCGATATTCCTTTAACCATAGGACCATCAACCTACGAGGTCGAATTCCTTGTAATGGATATAATGCCCTCCTATAACTCCTTGTTAGGAAGGCCTTGGATCCCCCAGGCAGGAGCCGTGCCATCCACTCTGCATCAGAAACTCAAATTTGTAATTGAGGGGAGACTGGTATGCCTTAATGCCGAGGAAGATATCATTGCTTCCATATCTACTACCGCCCCATATATCGAAGTAAATGAAGATGCGGTCGAGTGCTCTTTCAGAGCCTTGGAATTCGTTAATGCCACCTTTGTTGCTGAAAGAAAGAAAATTCCAAAGCCAAGGTTGTCCAACTGTACCAAAATGGAACTAAAAATGACTCTGGGAAGAGGAGCCAAGGTTGGGATAAGGCTTGGAAGTCGCTTACAGGGAAATATTAGTCCAGTTTTCGCCAATATTAAGCGAGATCATTTTGGTCTGGGATATCGTCCGACCTTAAAAGAAAAGTTGAAAAATGTTCAAAAGAGCCATGAAATGAGAAAAACCAGGTTATCCGGGGAGGATATTAAGTGGGAGCCCATATTTGGAGGCCACATGTTTTAGGGGGGCCGGTCATCTAAAGAGCCTATTATTGAAAATGCCCTGAGGGATTTGGGTATAAATGTGATATCGGAGGAAGGAATCGAAGATGGAATGGCTATGGGCATCAACCCTGCACCACCAGGCTTTATGCTAAACAATTGGACTGCAAAAGAATTACCTGTAGTTTACAAAATTGTTTCAGAGTAATGCACAAAAACTTTCCCTATTGTCTAAACCCCGGGACAATAAGTGATCTTCTGTAAGGGGTTAATCTATATGTTTTTATTTTAATAAATGATGCATTCCTGTTAATTCATGAAATGACAAACATTATCCCTTGCATTTTTCTCGTTATTTATTTATTATATATTATTATTTCATTCTATTTTGATATGGATAGATCATCCTGTATTTGTATATATATATATATATATATCCTTTCATTCGTTATTCTTTTAGGACCTCCGGTATCAATAGTATGAATATTATTGACTCTGACCTGAAGATAAATTTCGAGCTACCCATATATCAAGGGGAAATTGGAGGTTATGATTGTGATGAGGTAAGAGACTTACCTTCTGAACTACTGAAAAAGATAGAGAGAGAAGATAAACAAATTCTACCTCATGAAGAGCCCATTGAGATCTTGAATCTAGGATCAGAGGAAGATAAAAATGAGATAAAAATTGGCATCATCATATCTGCTGAGGGACGAAAAAGTCTGATTAAGCTACTTCGAGAGTACGAGATGTGTTTGCTTGGTCATATGAGGACATGCCAGGTTTAGATACTGAGTTAGTGGTACATAAGTTGCCAATAAAGCCATTATGTAAACCGGTACAACAAAAGCTCAGAAGAATGCGACCTGAAATGCTACTTAAAATTAAAGAAGAAGTAAATAAGCAATTTGATGCTGGGTTCCTAAAAGTAGCCAAGTATTCAAAATGGGTAGAAAACGTCGTTCCAGTACCAAAGAAAGATGGGAAAGTCCGCATGTGCATCGACTACAGAGATCTTAATCGGGCCAGTCCGAAAGATAATTTTCCTCTGCCACACATAGATACCCTGGTGGATAATACGAATGGAAACTTTCTATTTTCATTTATGGATGGGTTTTCAGGTTACAATCAAATAAAGATACATCCAGATGATATGGAAAAAACTATATTTGTCACCATGTGGGGCACGTTTTGTTACAATGTGATGTCGTTTGGGCTTAAGAATGCAGGAGCAACTTATCAAATGGCCATGGTAACACTATTCCATGACATGATGCATAAGGAAATAGAGGTCTATGTCGATGATATGATTGTTAAAGCTAAAACGGAGGAAGAACACATCGAGAATCTGAGGAAACTCTTCCAAAGATTAAGGAAATGGCAGTTAAAACTCAATCCAAGC